GTTTGATACGAAAACACCATTTTTACGAAGGTGTGAAGAGTTAATCTAGCTGTGTTCGCTTTTGCAAGAGAACTACAATGTTTTGATAATTGGGTGACAGGTTTTCTTATTTGTGTGTAGAGTTTTGCAAAAATAGCCAATAGTTACAAAAAATGTGCTTAAGCAATCAGAAAAAACTGTAATACAATTATTAGCAGTACCTCAATCAATGACACTTTTGAGGTACATTGAGGGACTAACTAGACACTAATGATTTTATACCACAGTGGATGGCTGAACAAATTTCACAACCGCTTATCCACCGAGACTCTCAGCTGACACTGGCTGAGAAGAATATAAAATGGACAGGCTGACAGTTTACGTGGCTAACGGACAGACAGATAACCGTTATATTCACACACACTTAAAGCTAAGTTTAAATTAATCTTAGATTAGATTTTAAACTGCAAGAAGAAAACAGATCACTCTGACAGGGAAACAAAATAGGGAAAGGGAGATCATACAAGGAGCCAACCAGAACTCAGTAGTGGGTAGCAATGTCCCCTTGGGACAGTTTGCTTCACAGGCACAGTAGCCCAGTACAATGTACGTGCATGCACACATAGATACATAAAGCATAATTTACAAAACCTAATCCTGGATTCAAATGTATTATGATGTCAACATAAACCATGAGGAAGAGGATTCAAATAAAAAATAATAATAAAAAATGCAGAGGCTTTTTAAAGGACCCTCACTTGATGTATATGTCTTATGTTATCAAGGGTACTGAAGCTTCCTGTAAGGCAGCCTTGTTAAGCACTGCTCCACCATGATACTCACATCTTTAATTCAAATGTACCATTTAATTCATTTTTAACTTCTCAGCAGGAGTCCGTGCAGTTGTGCTTTGACTGCTGTGCAGATTTAATCTGGTCTATTCATTTTGAATGGAATCATGATTTCCATACCGTCATCATAACACCATATTTGGCTCAGAAGAGCTGCCTAAACAAACCCAGCGACAGTATGCAGTATATGCCCCAAAAAAACAAGATGCTGAGATGATGTTCAGATTTATGATTTGTTCACACCAGAGCTGTTCACAGCTTATGACAAAGAGAAATAAGACTAAATAAATACAAATAAGGAGTCTTAATGGCATAAAAACAGCAGTTTATGTTGTTGTCATTGTTTCGTTTTGTTTTTTTAAATAAAAATTCGAAAACATGTCCCCAATAAATTGGTACACAGTCTGAGGCTTGTCCCACCATTCAGTCATTACCTTCACACAGTCACAACAATTTGCTCAAGCACTACAGGAGCCAGTTAAACCAATTAGTTTGAAACAAGTGCACTGTTGGATTAAGGGGGTTATCCGTGTCCGTTAATTGGTCTCAAGCCGTCCGTCCAGTGTGCCCTCTTTTATATGCTTGTAATTGAATTTTGCACAGAATTAGAAGCAGATTAAGCTGATGCATTTTAAATCACCCCATTCATTTCCAAACCTTGTTCATGCACCATGCGCCTCTCTGCAGAAATGCCCGAACACCCCGTTTCTCTCTATTTTTACGTGAGTGGGCATTCGGGTTGCAGCTCAGAGCTCGTTGCTCGCTGCAATCTGCTGTGTTGGTGTTTGACCCTGCAGTGGCTTTGAATGGAGACAGAAGGGAGACCAGCGTCATTCTGACGAGTGGTCCGTGCGGAGCGCATTTAGAATCGCGTTTGCAGTGTGCTCAAACAACCTGCGGTCACTGCAGACGCACAAGCAACAGCTGCAGTTCATCGGGCACACAAAACACCTGGAAGCATGTCTGGCATCACTGGGAACGTGGACTGCGAGGAGTGCTTATCTTCTGGACATCTACCCAACAGCACGGAGTTACATGTGCATCCCACCTTGGATGACGACGAGGAACTTCTGAGATACATTTGGAGAGAGTATTTACACCCCAAGCAGTATGAATGGGTTCTCATTGTGGCTTACATTATTGTATTCTTCGTTTCACTTATTGGGAACTCGCTTGGTGAGTCGTACCTTTAAATACATTCATTTCTCTCTCTCTCCATTCATCTTAAGAACTTGCAAAAATCATAAAGCAAAAGCACACTTCGAGTAACTTTTTCCCACCTCCCCATAATATCAGCGCAAATATTACTTGAAGTATGAGAAAAATCCAAATCAAGAGCGATCAATAACTAAAGAAGCGCATTCCCCCCCTCTGTGATGTTCACTAATCGCGGTCGCGTCTCTGCTGATGTGGAAGCATCAATGAGGAGGAGAAACCGTCAATCAGTCCAGGAAAGCGAGGTTCATTTTGGAAAATCGGTAACCTTTTGATTTCTTTGAAGATACATCGAGTAAAAATAAATTATTTCACACCGTGCATTTGCGTAACTTGCAAGTTTTGCAGACCGATTGTCTGCGAAATTCCATTATTGGACTGCTTGTGTATTTTCTCAATGGTTTAGCAGCAGGGGCAGTTTTACTATTTAGCAAAGAGAAGTCAGACTGACCTGTAGCTCTGTTTTTTTATTGTGAAATTTCTTATCGGGCTGCTACCACACATTTGAGAACCTCCTTCTTTGTGTCAGTGTGGGAGTCTTAGTTATGTTCTACTGAAGCTCGATTGTCACAGTCACTAAAATAACCTGCTCTTTTTCCGCTTGCGCTTTGATCTATTTCAACTTTGAAAGCTGTCTTTGTGCAGGCTTGTGTTCTATGCCTCATCTCAGGGATCCCACTAGCTGTTTTTAGACTTTTTTTTGGTAACAAGGAAAAGGGCCCCCACATAGATGCAGCTGTGCATTGCAGAATTGCACTCCAGCTTGGAAGGCTGAAGGTGTGCCACATTACCTGTCATTTTAGGCAACATTTATCAATCTAATAATTTGTATGGTATTTCAGCGAGGAAGACAGCATTCACCCTCTTGCCATCTTCATTATCCTTAATGCAACACCCACTCCCCAGACAGTGGATGACATTTTGAAATGGGCCACTGGAAATGCTGTCCAACAGAATTTTGTAGATGCTTTCAGAAAACAGCTTCCCACCCTTGTGCAGAGTCTACTTCCCCTTTTATGCTTTTAGTCTCACAATGGAATGAACAGACACTCTGAAAATGATACATGAGTGGATAAGTTACTATTCCAGAAATCAGACAGGCCAGCTATTCACAGTCTAATGTTCAACAGTTTCATATTAAACAGGTTAAGTGAAATAAGCAGGGTTATCATTTGCTTTTTAAAGCTCAGATTACAAAAATATGTGCTTTATAGTACTGGTTTACTAATAATACCTGGTTGCTGATGTAATCAATGCTTAATACTTCATAAATGACACAGAAACAAATTAGTTATTTTGTTTATGAGCAAAATTTGCATTTCTTTGCCGAACAGAGGACATTGGAGGGGTCCATGTGTGTTTAATCAGTATGGTCATGAGTTTCAAAGCCAGAGATGACAGGTTCTCATTATAACTGTCAGTGTTAGATGAGGAAGCACAGCGCAAATCTTTTAAATCATCGCAGCTTCTCTTTCTTTGTTTCCTGCACTGTGTGCTGTTTTCTCTTGCTGCAGTTTTACATGCTATGAACAGCAGGAAGTGACAACAGAGGTGTCACCCCTGCCTGGAGAATCTCTTCCATAGACAGAAGTGAAGAGAAAAAAAAATCATAAAATCAGCATTTACGGTTGCATTTTTTATTCCTATAGGGGAAAAGGAATCCAGTGGAATTTTTGCTAGAGCTGAAAGTATTTGTTCTCATAGTAAATGGCCTTGCTGCTGTAATGGATTCAGGCAAACATTGTACAGTAGGTACTCAATTTAAAACTTTAGTCTTCCTTTTTGTAGAGGGTCTTTCAGTGTAATCCTCTTTAGCATTTCTTTCCTGCTGCTGTAAGTACAAATTTTGATTCATCAAATCGCTGCATGTATTAACTTCACTGTTCACAGACGATGTTAGCGACCACCTGGCGAGCATAACATTAAGCAACTAAAGCACCAGATATTTCCCTCAGAGAGTTGGCAGAGACTGAACATGGAGTAAAAAGTAAAGAGAAACCACTAATAAATCTGTTCTGTATGTGATGGATGTGTAACTACAAGAAGCTTTTTGCTAAAATGTTTGCAACATTATTATGCTTTTAAACCTTGGACACAGTGTTTACACTTTGTGTTCAAGGCTCTCACCTTCCCATGCCAACATTTTACCCCATAGGCACTGAAACATTAGCTAAAATTCCAACTAATAATGGGCGGGCAATTGCCATTAGATCATCAGAAACATTAGGGCTACTTACCCTGCTCAACTTCTTGTTAACACAACAATCCAATGAGGCAGACATATGGCAGCAACTCAGTGCGCTCCTCCTCATGTTGACACGGTCAAGACGACCTACTGAAGTTCAAACTGAGCATCAGAATGGGGAAGAAGGGTAATTTAAGTGGCTTTGAATGTGACACATGGTTGTTTTTGCCAGAAGGACTGGTTTGAATATTTCAGAAACTGCTGATCTACTGGGCAGAAAACCATCCCTCTGGTTACCTTATTCATTCAGAGGTCAGAGGAAAATGACCAGACTGCCTTGAGATGATAGAAAGGTAACATAAGCTCGAATAACCATTCTTTAGAACTAAGGTATACCAAACTGGATCACTAAACACATAAGATCTCAAACCTTGTATTCTGGTGCTCGGCTACAGCAGTTAAATTCCACACTGGACGCCACTCCTGTCAGGAAGGAACGGGAAACTGAGGCTGTGATTCACACAGGCTCATCTAGATTGGACAATAGAAGACTGGAAAAATGTTGCCTACTCTGATGAGTCATAATTTCTGCTGCAACATTCGTATGGTGAGAATTTAGCATGAGCAACATAATCAACATGAAACAACATGATCCTGTCTTGAATCACTGGATCAGGCTACTGGTGTTGTACTTGTGTGAGGGATATTATCGTGACTCGCTTTGGTCCCCTTATGAGTGTAGTTTAAACACTACAGCCTTCTTGAGCATTGTTATGACCTCAGTATACCCATCTTTCAATGGCTGCTTCCAGCAGGATAAAGTACATTGCCACAAAGCTCAAATCCCACTCAAACTGGTTTCTTAAACATGACAGTGAGCTCACTGTACTCAAATGGCCTCCACAGTCACCCGAGCTCAATCCAATAGAGCACCTTAGGGCAGTGTTTCCCAACCTTTTTGTTGGGAAACCAGAGCACCTTAGGGCAGTGTTTCACTGAAATATGGTTTTCTAATGTGAAAATCATATTTCACATTACAAAAATCACA